GTGAGGAGTGTGATGGAACATTCGCTTGCCGGGATGGAGGCAGCTCTGACAACCTCAAGAAGCTTGACGCCATCCAGGGCAAAGCAGCCTGCTTAATTGTCGCCACATCCACAAGCATCCAGTCCCTTTATCACTGCTTAGCAGTAATGTGTGCCATCTACAAGATGCACTTGGAAATTCATCCAAAGATCCTTAAGATCTTCTAAACCCATGACCACTTGCATCTAGTGGGACAAGGGCAGTAGATAATTAGGAACACCACCATCTGCAAGTTCCCCTCCAAGCCATTCACTAACCCGACATGAAAATGTATTGCCATTCCTTCAGTGTTGCTGGGTGAAAGTGCTGGAATTCCCTCCCTGAGAGTATTGTGGGCCAACCTACAGTGTGTGGACTGCAGTGGTTCAAGAAGGCAGCACACCACCATCTTCTCAAAGGCCATTAAGTGATGCCCATGTCCCATGAGTGGCTGTTTTTTAAAACAAAAAAAGCGCTCTTCAATAGAATCAGGAGCATAGTGTGGTTTCTTGCAAATGGAAGGGTCCCTTTGACTGAAGGGAGATTGTACCTGCAGTGTCCTCCTCTTCCATGTATTAGGGTTTCTATGAACCTATTGGATGTTTTGGTAGTAACAATTTAAGTGATTTCCCCACCTTTGTTTTAGTGAGCACTCAGTGGTAGAGGATAAACTTGCCAGGTAAAAGTTTAAACCCAGGTGTCTAGCTCCTTTTCACCTATGCTGGATGAAATAAAATGCGAGATCCTTTGGTTACTGATTTGTTTTTGGATTCTAGTGGGCGTTGTAACACTCTTAGCTCTTTATATAAATTTTAAAAAATGAAGTTTAGAATTTTGAAATAAAAATGCCCAGTTCTGAAAATATGAAATTCTGGTCCAGAGATGATTTTTGGCTTATTTAACGGAAAGCAAAATGTTACGTATTGTTCAAGGTCAGTTTTCTTAAGGATTTTTTTGAGGGAAACTTGAATGAACTTTTCTGTTAGTAGATGGAGTGCTCGATCTATCAACGAAGAAGAACAGCATAAATTCCACCGTATCAACTGGATCTAGTCCTGCATCAACCACTATCAAATTATCAGGGTAAGTATTAGTGAAGAGTTACATTCCCAAAGGATTTATGTTTGTCATAATAATTATGTATTTTTAAGTCTTAAATGTAAACTTTTTTGCCACAGCTGTACCATATGGTTCTGTTTAGGATACTGTTGATTTTTACTTGTGGTTTTAATTTTTGAAGGGTAGTTCACCATAATTTTTAGGTATCTCAAGCTAGTTAACATTTTAAAAATTAGATTCTTAAACAGTCCATATCAAATTATTGACGTAATTCATGGGTTGTGGGTTGTATTTATTTCAACAGCAAATGATAAATATAAGATTGGAAATGAAAATGCTGCAGGTGTATGGAAACATTGTCTGGTCAATCTGTGTGTTAGATAATCTATCTAAAATCTCTCCAATACAGTGGTAGAAAGATGTTCTCCTAAAAGGACAGTTGTAATTTTCTGCACAATCAGTTCATCATGTCTGGTTACATTTAACCATCAGGTATCTGATTTTTGAGGTTTAGGAAGGCTTTCTACATTGATCATTTCAACGTAGACTTGCAAAAATGCTACTGTAATACTGAAAACTTTCATTTTTAGAATACCTCTTTTAGATGCACTTGTCAGCAAGAATTTCAATGGAAGCTGAAAGTTTATGCAACCAGATAGCTAGGAATGGGATTGTCAATTCTAGTCAAATCTTAGTTTGCATATCTAATATTCTGATTAATCTATTCAACTCCAGATTTATCACAAGCTTAAACTATGCCAGTTCTATCGAGTGCAGTTTTCTTGATCCTGCAAATACTTTGTTTCACTGCTAAGAGTTAGTTGAAGTTTTTTAATATCTGATCCATTCCATATATATTGAAAGCTACCTGCAGGTGTAAAGTAAGAAATATGACCGCATGTTGTGTATTAATATGCTTCCTAAGCTTTTGCTATCAAAGTTGAACTATTTTCAATAATTATTTCTAGTGATAGGTTTGACATTTTAACTTAATGTAATTTCTAAAAATTGATGAGAATTTTTAATTGTATTTCTAACTGACAAACTTTAAATGCTATTAAATCTTTTTGTTTTGTGTTTGTCAGAACCAATGCAAAGTATACTGTCAGTATGTAAAAATACCATGACTATCAAAAACCCATTTTTTGTAGTATTCATATACTGCCAGAATTATATATAATGGTCAAAAATGTTTAAAGGCACTCATGTAATCAATCATTCTATAACTGGTAGTCGACTACAAAGATGATTTTTCTTACTAAATAAGAAATGCCCTCTAAAAGCCATTTATGGGTCTTTCACACTAATGGAAGTACTGTAACAATACATTACTAGTGCATAATCCTGTAGCTTTCTTTTACAGTGCCAGAAGTGTCAAGTATTAAAGCTGAGTTTTTTTGGTACAATGTGTACACACTTCTATCTTTTACCTTGCACTATAGTTAGATGGTTACCCTAGGAGTTATAATGCAATATAGGCAGCACTTTTTTTTTTTTTTTGCTACGTTAAGTAATTTGTAATAGTTTTCTTTCCTTTCATTTTTCTCATTTATATATTGAATTTTGTTTTTGATTTGTTCGCTATTTAAGTTGTTTGTTTCTTGAATTATCTGTCCTGGCCACACTTTTTATAAAATATTATGAAACTTACCACTGTCTTGCACTCAATCTATAAGTTTCATCTTCAGTTTCATGAAGGCAGAATTTGTGCTTGCTCTGTGCCAGTATAATTGTACTTGTATCAGCTGTAAGTCACAAAGTGACCTGAATAAGCAGCGTAAGAGGTAGAATTTGAAGTCTTATAAATGTACTTGCATCAGGCAAAGCTTTTACAGATCATGTTGACATTTCTAGGGCAGCACGGTGGCTCAGTGGTTAGCACTGCTGCCTCACAGAACCAGGGACCCAGGTTCAATTCCACCCACGGGTGACTATCTGTGTGGAGTTTGCACATTCTGTGTCTGCGTGGGTTTCCTCTGGGTCCTCCAGTTTCCTCCCACAGTCCAAAGATATGCAGGCTAGGTGAATTGGCCATGCACAGTTGCCCAAAGTGTGCAGGGATGTGTAGATTAGGTAGGTTATAGGGTGATGGGTCTGGGTGGGATGCTCTGAGGGTTGGTGTGGACTTGTTGGGCCGAAGGGCCTGTTTCCACACTGTAGGGGTTCTGTGATGATTCTAGATTGCAGAGGATGGGGGGGGGGAGCGGTGGTGGCAGAAGGGGAAGAAGTTGTTTCCAGAAGGGGGAGATAAGGGAGAAGATATTCAGGTCTGGTAGCATTTGTGGAGAGGGAGAATTAACTTATGAGATTTCTGATGCAAGGTCAATGGATATGTTGGCAACTATGCGTACCGAGCGGAAGAATTGATTGAACAACTGCAATGTTCTTAAATAATAAGAAATATGTGCAAGTGCTCATCAACAAAATTGTGATTAGAGTCATTGGAAAAGGCTTACCATTCCTATTGGAAATTTCTTGGATGGTTCCTCAAGGCAAAGATTTTGATGAGCGTTTTACAAGGAAGTCTGCCAAATGTCATAAGAACTGCTAGAAAAGTATTTCCTGACTAAAACTGTTATGGTGTGTACAAAAACATAGAGTATTCCAATTTGCTAGATTTCTAGGATTGGTCATTACTGTGTAAAAGACTTGAAATCATTTGCAAGCCTTCCTTTTGTTCAACATCTAAAACCCAGAGGTTTAAGATCCTGCCCCCACGTAGCTGACAGTTCCAATTGATCGTTCAACAAGGGGCAGAGGAAGGGTCATCAGACCCAAAATGTTAAGTGTGATTTTTTTTTTCCTCAGATGCTGCCAGACCTGCTGAGCTTTCCAGCAACTTCGGTTTTTGTTTTACATCATCCGCAGTTCTTTTTTGGTTTTTAAGGGACAGACATAGATGTTTACACGCTCAAAATAATTGAATCTAACTAAATCTCAAACTGAAATATCAAACTGAGTTCAAATGACCACAGTTTCTGTAGGTATCTCTTGTGTTTACTTTCTTTTAAATTTGCTGTTGGAATGTGGTTGTCACAAGCTGGGCTTGAATTTATTGTGCATCCCTAATTGCCCTAGAAGCCATGAGCTTTGTTCTGAAACTGCCACAGTCCATGTGGTTTGAAGAGTTTCAGATTTTCAATGAATGGTGATACAGTTTCAAGTCAAGATGGAATGTTGTTTTGACAGGAACTTAAGGTTGATGGTGCTCCCATGCATCTGCCCTTGTCCATCTAGGTGATAGTGGTTATCGACTTGCAAGGTGCTGTTAAAGGATTTGCTTCTGAACTTTGTAGATGGTATGCAGTATTGTCTCTGATTTGACAGTTCTAGGCCTTGCACAGCATATATTGAGAATATAACTAAATTTGCCAGAATGATACCTGAATTCCTAGCATTAAGTTGAGAGATGACAGAAAAGGAGACTTCCAGACCCTGGAATTTTATGGTTAAGGGATTATTTGATCACTCGAAGTCTTCATGATATTAAGAGAAACAGGTGGGATAGATGGAGAGAAACTATTTCCTCTGGTTGCAGGGGAAACATCAAGGGGTCCAGAGTATAGTCTTTAAATTTAGTACCAGGTTTTCAGGGGTGGCATTAGGAAATACTATGTATAAAAGGCAGTAAAAATTTGGATCACTGTTTTGTGAACAGTTGATGTTAGGTTGATTGTTTAAATTTAACCTTAACAATACCTTTAATTTTAAAAAAGAATCTAAAGAATACAGGACACAAGTGAGCATATGGGGTTAGATTGTAGAATAAACACTCACGTTAAGTGGCAAAACAGGCATGACTGAATGTCATCCTGTTTCTATGCCATCACTTTAAAATGTTAAGCATATTTGGACCATCTACATACAAATGCAATTTGGTTTGTTCTTCAGGGCAATTATTCATATCTGAACACCCAAGCCTATTTGCCCAAAGCTTAGATGATTCTGAAAGTTGTCAATTTGTTAGATTAACTGTCTTCTACCAATCCCAAAGAACTGCACTTCCTCAAGTATAAACATATTACCATAAGTTATTGATAAACATTTTTGTTCTATACAGCCTTTTGTTTAGAAAAGGGATAAGGTGGCAATGGCCTAGTTTGTCAAAAACGTTTTGACTCAGCCAGAGAACATCCTGTGTTCAAGGGATTTTAAATTTAAGCCACTGTGTGGTCAAATATAAGAAAATATGTTAAAAACCATTGAAAGGAAACTTTTCATAATTTTCTCGTGTCTTCTGAATATACAGGGTCTACCTATTTTATACCCAGAATTCATTTCTGGATGTAATGACTAGTGCAAAGATTTTTTGTTATTCAAGGAACATGGGTGGATCAGCTTTTTTTATCCATCCCAGTTGCCTTTGTTAATGTGATGGTGAGCTGCCACTTTGAGACATGCAGTCCATTTGTTGTAGGGGAGGGAGTTCCAGGAATTTGACCCAGTGACACAAAAGGAATGGTGATACATTTCCAGGTTAGGATGTTGAAGGGCTTTGACTGGAACTTGCTGGTGGTGGTGTACCCATTTTGTCCTTCTACATGGTTGTGGTCGTGGATATGGAAGATGCTGTTTAAGGAACATTAGTGAATTTCTGCAATTTTAGTCTGTGTTTATCTATGTGCTTTGTTCATTTATTTTCCTTTTTAATTAATAATTAAGAATATCTGATCATGGACTCCTTTCATTGCATTAGGTATAACCTATATAATTTTTGCTACACTGTTCACTTCAAAGCAGAAAATTTAAATGTATCAAGTAAAACATAAACGTTATATGCAGTGTTCACAGGATGATGTGCGATCAGAATACTTCTGTCTGCATTTTAAAGTCTCAAACAATAATCTCTCTCATTCTGGAGTCAATAGATGTGAAGCTAGAAAAGCACAGCAGGTCAGACAGCATCAGAGGAACAGGAAAGTCAACATTTCGGGCCAAAACCCCCCTCCAGGACTGTCCTGACAAAGGGTTTCAGCCCAAAAATGTCGACTTTGCTACTCCTTGGATGCTATCTGACCCGCTGT